GGGGACACCCCCCAGCTTCCCCCACTGCTGGCTGGTGGTGGGTCCTGGGCTGGGGGTGACACCTCAGGGTCCTTTTCCCTTCCCCCAGGAGATGAGAACAAACCAGATGGAGGCTCCGGGGGCCGGAGCGGGAGCTCGGGACGAGCCCCGGGGGATCCAGACAGGTGGGTGACACTGGGCTCCACAGAGATGGGGGTGTCACCAGCACCAGGTGGGACGTGACACCTTCCAGGAGCAGGAGCTGGGTGGGAGCAAGGGCTGGGTGGGGCCACAGCCCCTCAAGCCCCCAGCCCTGGGCTAATGCCACTGGGGTTGTGTGGCCCGGGGGTGACAGTGGCCCCAGGGTGACAGCAGCTGTCCCTGCAGGAAGGAGAGCAGGAAGGATCACGATGCACGACCTGCACCTGAGCCAAAGAAACTCGACGAGAACCCCCCCTCTGTAAGCACCAGGGGGGGACACATCCTGGGTGGGGGGACACACACACATCCTCGGGGATGATGCACATCCTGGAGAGGGGACACATCCCAGGGTGGAGACATACACATCTTGGGGCGGGGGGACACAGGTCCCAGAGGAGGGGACATGCACATCCTGTGGGGACACACATGTCCCAGGGTGAGGGGACACGCATCCCCAGACAGGGGAGACGCACACATCCCTGGGGAGGGAGGGAACACATCCCAGGGTGGGGCACAGGCACATCCCAGGGGTAGCGCTGCAGCCTCAGGCCCTGGATCCTACTCTGGCCCTGCTGATAATTACCCCAGATCCCAGGTTTTGGAGGGGGGGTTGGGGGGCTTTTTTTCTCCCCCTGCTAACAACCCCCCAACCTGTGTCCCTCCCCAGTTCAGCCACGCCAGCAAGTATGCAGCGCTGGCAGTGGATGGTGATGATGAGGCCGAAGAAGAGGAGGGCACCGAGTGACCCAAATCCTCCAGGAATGAACCCAAACCCTCCAGGAACGACCCCAAATCCGGGGAGGAACCAACCCCCCCCCCGCGGGGCATCGGCTCCCAACCCGCCCCCCCCCTGGGATCCTTGGATAAATTCTAAAAAGCAAAAACCAAACACAAAATCCAGACGGGAGAGAAATAAAACCTAAAGCCTCAGCACCTGGAGATCTCTCCTGGGCTTGTGTCAATCCCCCCCAAAAAAAACACCCAAACCAACTCCCCCCAAAAAAACCCCAACAAAAATAGGAATTGCTCATCCCGGAGGAAGGAGGAGGAAGCGAAGCTCTTGCATGTTGCTGCTGCTGCCATTGCCTGGTGAAGGATCCCGAGGGAATTCCGCAGGGAAGCTGCGTTCCCTCGCCAGGAAGGTAGGGCTGGGGGGACCAGAGGGTCCTGAGCCCCCTGGGCGGGGGGGGGTCTGTGCCCAGCTTGGACCTGTGTGTCCTCTGAGGCACCTTCCCCTCCTCCCTGCTGTCCATCCTGGAATTACCTGGAATTGTGGCCCCCATGTGACATGATTCCAGCTTGTAGCCCAGCGGAGGGGGCAGTTGGGTGACACTTGGATGGGGGGGAGGGTCCCCAAAATCACCCACCTCCTCCT